GTCATGTATGTAAACTAAAATAATGTGATATAATTTATAAATATTCTAAGTCTTGTATTACTCTATTAGTGTACCTATTTATAGTATCCTGTAGTACTGTCATTTTTTTTTTTTTATTTCGAATGTTTTAGCTTATTTACTTGAGAAATGTCATTTAGTTTTATATAAGTATGGGTTTGAAATTCGGTAAGAACTTTACTAAAAATATGAACATTCGGTTGACTTTTCTAAAATGAATTTCTTAGATAATTATGAAAGGATTCACAGGAAAAACAAAAAAAAAAACTGGCAGAGTTTACATTAGACCTTTTATTACCTTTTTATCTTAACCAATATTCTGCCGGAGTTTACAATCGCCCAATTAAACGTGTCGAACAAGAGGGCAAAATAGAAAGCTTTAAAATGAAGAAATTCTACATAAAAAAGGTACATCGATAATACAAACAGACCGAACACCAATTATTATTTCCTTCCGTGTTTTGAACTTTACCTATATCATATTAAATCGGATGAATTACCAACTCACCGCCCCTGCGTGTATATCGAATGTGTCTGTATTTACGCGCTCGCATCTTTCATACACACGGAATGAAATCATGTCTAATAAAATACGTTGTGTCTTGCCGTACTGTGTATAATAAAGTTATATCTGCGTCAAACAGCGAAACATGATCAATCCATTGTTTCGATGTTTATTATGAATACATTGCATTTAATGAGGGACGATTTTAATAACATTAGATTCATTGGGCGTACGATTGAGTTTCGACTAGCTGACATTCAACACGATTTATCTATATACGTGTATGGAAATCGAAAATTAAATTAAATATTTGACTGATATATGGCTGAGCATGCGAACAATTATGTGTTTTGAGGTTAATTTCATTACCTCGTCGAAATGTCTGTTAATACAATTATTAATTTTATAGAATTATTTAAGTATGCGACGATTCTTATAGAAATAAAATATAATGTATTTGCTTGCCATTTAATTTATTTTGTATAGTCTTTAGTACCTTATTATATACATACGTTGCACACACAACGTGCATGTATATATTTTGAAAAAAACTAAAATACTATTGATTGAAATGTAATATTAAATTTATATTTCCTCTTTCAAGCTTATGATACGAATACACTCGTAGTTCTATCGAAAATTGGACGTATTATTTTTTTTTCGAATTATTACTATAAAGTAGTTTATTCGCTCCGCTCATTTTTTATTTTAAGGCAATGTGTTAAAAATTACTTCGTGAAGTAGGAATTATGTATCTACCATCTATACCTAATTGACATTTATAATATCTATTATTTAAATTAAGTTAATATAAATGTAGTCACAGACTTTTATTCAATCTGAAGTAGATATATTATATTATAATCAACAGAATCCAATTATGCTAATAATATTATTGTTATTTATTTAAATTTTTTGAATACCAGTTGTGAGTTACTACCATTAAAATATTATGCCCACAGTATAGAAGAAGTCAAATATATTTATAAAATTTTCTCACGGATTTTAATTAAATTAGTAGCACATAAGTATATTCATTCAATGTTCGACTTGGAAAAATTAAAGAAGGGGGACTCTATTTACTTTAAAAAAAAGAGCGTCCCCAAAACTTCTTAAGCGTTATAATTATTACATAATAATAGTAGGGAGACACTAAGATTTCTGAAAATTAGTTGGGGTACTCCGTCCCCTTGCGTCCCCTCTCAAGTCGAGTACTGACTATATTATAGTTTGGGGACTAGAAAATTATCAATTTAGTATGTAAATATTAAACATGGATAAATTACATATTTCTTTGCCTGCTTTTTATATTTTTTTATAAACATTATTTTAATTTTATGTTTCTCTTAGTATTATGAATTAAAAAGCTTAAAAAGTAAAAAAAAACATTGTGAACTCTAAATTGTAATCGTTTTCAAAGATAATTTTAAATTTTTGATTTAAATAGCTAAGTTTCGTTTAGGATTTTAAATCAAGGTGATTTACTTTTATTAAATGAAATTATATTCGATGTGTAAATTAACTTCAATTTTTGATAGATTATTTATCTAATTCTGTTTGATAGTCCTACTTATCATTACATTCGATTGAATTGGAAGTGGAAGTTGTACTTAAATCGTGTTATCACTTATAATTTTGTATTTAAGATTAATAAATACAAATAAAGTATTAAAAGGAGTACTTTAAAGCAGTGTACTCTGTTTATTTAAAATTATTTTAATTACATTTTTGAAACTGTATTTGGCTATCGATAAGTTAATAACGCCATATAGCAATACAAATAAAACTATATAATACTTTTTACTTAAAACTTTTATTACGACTAAAAATGTTAGTATAACTTATATGTGTGGTACGTGGGACTGCGTAGCATTTTCCATTTGCATATTAATTTCAGGTGATCTTAGTCAGACTCGAAATTATGAGAGTGGTGATTTATAATCCTATGGTGTGAAGTATGGAATTTTAATCTTGTATAATTACGAGTACTACAAGTTTTAAATATAATTTTGGTTCGATAAAGTTTCGAGTTTTTTTGCTTTGCGTAGATCTTTAACATTTTTTCCGTAGTTATTATATATAAATATGTTCATATGTAATCGAATTTTGAGAAAAAAAAATTGATAATTTTTTTACCATCTCATTTTAAATTAGTACAGAATGAAAATTGTAATGCCTTATAAAGTATTTAAATAGTTAATTTAATAGTAGTTAAATATATTTTCATATAACAATTTAATTTAATTTATATAAAAAAAAAAAAAGTAATTCATTTTTTGTGTCTTAACTTATATCTCAGTATTTTTATGTGATTTACCATGTGTATTTATATGTATCTACTACTTCTTATTTTTTCTGTTTAGTGTAATATAAAACATTTTAATTTCCTAAAAGAACAACTCTATACTAAGGATTTAAATTTTAAATACATATTAATTACTAAAGTATTGTCTTTGGATGGCTTCTTCAATTAAAATATCTGTGTAAAATAATATAACTAGTGAGATAAATATTGTATATATAAATAGGAACTTTTTATAATTGCTTATTATTACAAATACTATTGATTATATTCAATTATTCACTTATATTTATGGTACCATACGCGTACAGATTGTATAATTTTCTTATTTAAAAAAAAATAATTTAAACCACGGTCAGAATTTTTTATTCCAGTAAAACTGCAACGTCTCGGTATTTTTTACCCGGGTTAAAATAAAGTGTATTAAAATTATCTAAATAATTATTCCGATAAAAGATATAAAGGAAATTATTTTGTGACAGTTATAAAATCAATGCACAATCATCATTAAATGCAACAATTCACCTGAAAATATAAGTATACATCTCACAAAACATAAAATCTCTGAAAATAAGTAGTTATAATGAAAATGACTCATTTTTATTCGCAGTTAGAAATTTCAAAATATTTCTAGAAAATTTAAAAATAATTATTCAACAAAATCCGGACTTAAATGTAACAATCTTAAGATATATAGGTATATATGTATTTATACAACTAATTTCAATCTATATTTTTACTTCTTTCGTATTATGTTCAATTCTTATCTAGAAGACAATGATTTTGCTTGAACTATAGGAATCATGTCAATGTCAATTTTTCACAACATTAAGATACAGTTCCATGAAGAAGTCTCTCCCTCATATATTTTTAAATCTAATTATTAAACATACTCCACAATCACAGATACCAATTGATCAACCTACATTGACATTCGGCAATTCTGGCGTCCAATAATGATGCCCTTATTGTGACTCATCAAGTTCAACAACCTTGTCTTAATTTCCATATGGACTAGGTGAATGATAGAAAATTAAATTTAACAAAACCAAATTAATTCAAAACAATTACACTTAAATGAACTTCCTGTATTAAATTTATTCAATAACTCCATGTCAAGTTTAAATTCAAAAACGGACCTTAGAATAATCGACAAAAGATCCTTATGGAAAAAACATACTATAAATAAAGTATTTATTGTTGTATAAAGTTCAAAAAGTAAAGAATTTATAAGTTTAATTTTTTGTAATGAATCAACTACTGAGTTCTTTAATTCCATTACAAATAATGTTAAATGAAAACTTTTTTATTCAAATTATAAAATAATAATATGTATCTTTTTCTGCATAAATTTTAATTAATTGTAACATTAATATTAAGGTAGAACTTAAGTTATAAAACACAACAGGAATTTTTATCTGAAATTCTAATTCATTTTCCTTTGTTTTACTATTTGTACCTAATTCCTCACTAGCAAATATATTAAAATGAGATACAGTACAATGTTATTTCATATAAATTATAATAATAATGAATTTACTTCAAAATGTAACTATTTAAAAAAAAAAATATATATATATATATATATATGATATTTATGTATATAAGCGATTATTAACTTCAAAAGTTGCAATATTTAATTATAGCTAAACATTTCTAGATAGGAATAAATAAAATCATTTTCTTATGACTTTTTATTTTTACAGAAATTATTATTTATTTCTAGAAAATCATAAACAATGTAAAATTACTATTATATGAATTACAATTATATGTTAAATAATTAGGTAGTATGAAAGTTTATGTTATAAGTGTATCCCTAAATTATTTAAAACTTATATAAATTCAACAATTTGAGCAATAACACTAAAGTACACTTGAAAGCCCTTCTCAAGTGTATCATTGTTTAAAATTTATAGTCAATATTAACTGTCGTTAAAATGATAACTGATACCATAGTATTTTGAAATTAATTGATGGAAGTATGAATTTCTAAATAAGTATATTTTTAATTTTTATAAAAAACTTAGTTAATTTATTTACTTTCGATTGTTTGTCAGATTTCTTGATTATAAATTAATTATTAATCAAATTAATAAACTTTCGTTTTGTGTACTTATATAAACTTATTTTCTTTGGTATTATTTTTTTCATTACGAACAATTTGTGTTTCAGACGAAGTAGCTGATTTACCATGGTACTAATTAGACGGTGTGGTCGAATCATAGGCCATGGATATTGGCAAAGGACGTGTTTCGCCCTGAATAACGGCATAAGTCAGCCGAACAGACAACGGACCGAATCCAAAGTGATCCGGTCACCGTTTTCGGACGTGGAAATACCAAGTTGTCTGTTGGACGAAGGCGTTTGGGGGAACTTGGAAAGATGGCCTGACAAAGATGCGTTGGTAAGTGGTGACGTTACGTCACGATTGCGAGACGTTTTAAAAGAATAAATTAAAACCCTCATACCCGGTGTTTGTGTGTGTGTGTGTGTAATTATGTATATAAAAATAAATCCTATTTCCCTTGGTTACACCATCACGCGTAAACGGCTGGACCGATTTCGCTAAATCTTTTTTTTGTTGTTATTGTCAGGAAAAGGTTCTTTCGAAAGAAAAAATTAAGAAAATTGCATGGAAAATTAAAAAATGTAAGAATACTTAACCATCATATAAAATTATTTCTAACTAATCTTAGCGTTTTGGGCAATGTAAACTTTTTTTTAATGTAACCTTTTGACGTTTGACATATAACTGACAGAATGCGTGCTGCTACCTCAGGGGGGACACCTAGTGTTTACGAGTTTAGCGAACCTGGGGCCCCGAGCTCCCATCTTCCCAGGATATGGAAAGTTGATCGTAGGACTAACAACCTTACACCGTAAAATAAAACAATATTAAGAAACCACAAAATAAGTCTCGGAATTGGAACAGAACTGGACAACGATTGGAAACGGAAACTGGCTTCAAAATTGACACTTGGAACGTTAGAACACTTAATAAATCTGGGGCATTACAGTGTATGCTTAACGCCATTAAAAATTATAATTCTTTTATATTAGCTCTACAAGAAGTGAGATGGCCCGGAGAAGTAAGCCTCAGAAAGGATGATAAAATTATTTTTTATAATGGAAATAGAGATGGAAAGTTCGAAAATAGAGTAGGATTTGTAGTAAGTGAGAATATCTTACCATATGTTAAAAATTTCCAGGCAATAAATGAGCGTATATGCTACATACGGATAATAGGACGCATATTTGACCTAATAGTTATAAATTGCTACGCGCCTACTGAAGACAAAGGAGATGATGTCAAAGAAAACTTCTATGAAATATTATACAGGATAAGTGATATAACATCTAATTATTGCATTAAAATAGTTCTTGGGGATTTAAATGCGAAAGTAGAAAACGAGGAGGTATATAGACCAATGAATGGTCGAGATAGTCTCCATAACACAAGCAACGAAAATGGTATCCGTTTAATTAATTTCTGTATGACAAATGGTATAGTAGTACATATTTCCCTAGAAAGGATATCCATAAGCAAAAATGGATAGCCTCAAACCAAGTGGTAAAAAATTAAATAGATATCATATAATGATACTAAATAGACGCTAAGGATGTATACAAAATTAAATAAATATCATATAATGATACTAAATAGACGCTAAGGATGTATACAAAATATCAGAACCTTTAGGGGTGCGGATTCTGATCATTACTTAGTCATTGCAAAATTTATAACAAGACTATCGAGATTCAGTGCAGATACAGATGCAGTGGAGAGAATATAAAGGAAAAGTGTCAGAAAAATTCTGTATCGAAAAGTCTGCGAAAGAACGTATCTTGAATGAGTACGGTCATACAAAGCACCATGAAATACTAAAATTTAATAATGAAAATAATGATGAAGATGAAAATGTAGAACATATTTGGAAAAAGATAAGAACAACAGTGATAAATAGTGCAAAGAATTGCTTAGGAATAAGAAAAAATAGTAAAAAGAAAAACTGGTTTAATGAAAAATGTAAAGAAACTGTAGACAGAAGAAATAAACTAAGAGAAATAGCATTAAGAGTCTGACAGATGAACATTTAAAACGATACAAGGCTAGCAAAATAGAAACTAACCAAATGCTTAGGAGGGAAAAAAGACAAGGAGAAAAGAGGAAGATTGAAGAAATTGAAAATAACAGATTTAATTCCAAAAAATTCTTTATCAATAGTAGAGATATCAAGCAAGGATATAAACAGAAGATGAGAAATTGTGTGATGGCCAAAGTGTTGTAGCAGAGCAAATAATAGTTTGGAATAGGTGCACGATGGCATACAAAAAATCTTTGGAAGCATTAAACCGCACGTTGCAAGATTTACGATTGAACCAAAATCGATTTGGTGGTGCAATGATTTTATTGGCAGGTGATTTTTGTCAAACACTACCAGTAATACCATGATCAACGCCAGCCAACGAACTTGACTCATGTTTAAAGTCATCCATTTTATGGAAATACATTATAACGCTCAAATTAAATATTGTCGAATTGTAAAACGAACGACAATCTGGAAAAGTTTTTTCCAAACAATTGCTCAAAATTACAAAGATCATGTATGATTGAGCAAAAGAGTTATATTGGCTGCAAAAAACGTTGATGTCAACAAAATTAATTTTCAGAATCCAAATAAGATAGGTGGCAAATTAATGACATACAAATTGATTGAACTAAGATTATGTTGTAAACTATCCAATAGAGTTTTTAAATTCGCTGGAATTGCCTGGATTACCACCTTATAATCTGCAATTAAAATCGAATTGGTAAACATTATGTTGGGGAATATAAATCAGCCATTTCTTTGTAATGGCACCCGACTTGCGGTAAAGAAATTAATAAATAACGTCATCGAAACCACAATTTTGAAAGGGAAGAACAAAGTTGAAGATGTTTTGATTTCATGGATTAATTTGATTCCGAATGGCATGCCATTCGACTTTAAACGGTTGCAATTTCCAATGCGGCTAGCATTTGCAATGTCGATAAATTAATCTCAAGGGCAGTCGCTAAGTGTTTGTGGCATCAATCTTAATAATCCATGTTTTTCAGATGGCCAGTTTATGTTCCCTATTCCCGTGTCGGAATATCAACAAAACTATTTAAATACGTGCAACAAAAAAAAAAAAAAAAAAAAAAAAACACTTTTTTTAAAATATTATTTTTATTAATTATACCAATTCGAATTTAATATTCATAATTAAGGAAAGCCAATGTCTGTCGGGTCAACTAGTACAATTTATAAAATACATATTATGATGAAATTATATCATATATTTTATTACAGTGTATAACCTGAAATATTTATTTTTATGTATTCTGAAGAGTAAAAAAATAGAAAAGAAAACGATGGACTTCACCGTGCGGTAATTTTTTAGATCGGTACCTATATTTCTATCAACGATATTTTAAATTATTTTACGGAATTTGTGTTATTTTAGATAATAGATTTTAACCGATTAACAGATAGAACCAATATCATATTTGGAGTATCTGTTGTATAGTATGTAGTCGTATACAACTAGATATGTTTCCATACATTTTGTTGACAATATATATACTACGCTGACAAATTTTCACTATATAGACGATGCTTGTGGTAGTGGGAAAGGGTTATAAATATTAACAACAAATTTAAATGCTTACATTTTTATTTTTTACAGAAATTAAAATTATTTAAATAAATTGAAAGCGTCCTAAATACATAGTATACCATCAACAATTTCTTCATAGTAATTATCTGAATAATAACTGTATATTTATTAAAAAATAATGAAAAAATTAAAACCTGTAAGACTAATTACATTTAATACTTCTCTGCGATGTGCTTGAGACTTGAGAGTGTACGCAGTGTAGATACTAGTGCTCTGCATGGTCCGGTCTTAATCAGTCCGGTCCTAACATACAAAAACTATTGATTCGTCGGTTTGGTCCGGTTCAATGATTTTTTGGAATAGTTCGGTCCAGTACTCAGATCAAATGAACTATTTGCAGACCGGTCCGGTTTCAAAAAAAAAAAATAAAAATAAAAATCAGTCTGGTCCCAATCATGGAACATAAAATTAGATATTAGAATCAGAACAGATATTGTTTTATAAACAAATAAAAGGAAAAAACCTACAAATTTAGGTATATATTTATTTATAAAGTCGAGTAGTCCAGTGCAGTGTAATACTAAACGCATCATATGGTACGGTCTGGGCTAATACAGACTGATCCTTACGAACCGGTCCATAAACGATCCAAAATGTTTTAAGATCGAACTGACGCTCAGTCTAAAAATAATATGAAGCCATGTTCGGTCCAATGTTGGTCTTTGATTAATGTTTAAGTGTGGTTTGGTCCGACGTCGGTCTCTTGATAAAATTTGAAGTTCGATCTGGTCCTTATAACGGACCGTGCAGAGCACTAGTAGATAACATCCTGACCGACACAATCGCTCGAGGTGTTCTACGTGCAAATTTTAGTGTATAGCGCATAGACGCATAGCATGGTAATATGGTATACTCGTAAACGTAAGCGCAAAACTAGTAAAAAACATATTTTCATGATATAATTTATGACATTTAAATGATACCGTTACCTATAAACAGTACATATTTAATTTTTTTGTTTATTAATTTTTCCTGATAACTTTTATCCCGTTAAAATGAGCTATAAAATGTGCTGTGCTGTGAAATGTAGCAATTCTTATAAGATATAAAAAATAAAATTGTGAAGTTTTATAATTTTCCTAATAAACCCAATGAAATTGAATTTGATATCAAGATGGATTTTAGAGGGCTTCATTAATGTTCATGTATTTTTTACATTTTTAAATGAAAATGAAAAAAATTAATAATTTCGAGTAGTACTACTTAGTTTTTTAGTATTACAGTCAGGGGTGAACTGAGGCCCCGAAGGCCCGGGCGGGTATAAGTTTTACAAACTAGCAAACAAGCGACTCGTGTTAAACAAGCAAATATAGCTTGAGGCTCAAACATAACATTTTTAGAGGACCTGGGGGGTATAACAACCTACCCGCCCTGCCAGTTCACCCCTGATTACTATAAACTTTTTATAGAAATCAAACTTTAAGTAATACAATTGATTCAATAATATATTATGAAATCAATGGTTAAACACAAAAATGTAGTGCGTTCATCGCTAGACTGCGAGGTTTTTCATTTAACGCACCATGTCTATACACGGGTATTTTCAAAATAACGTAGGAGTATACTACGTATATGTAGTATACCTTCTGACAGCGGTTCTCAAACTGGAGAGGAACGCCTTCCTTGGGAATCGTAGAATATTTTTAAAAAGCAGCGAAACATGAAAACGTTATTTATGATAATTTTTGCATTTAATCGAGACGA